GAAAACACTCCGCCCTTTGGGCGTCATGTTTCCACACAATTTCTCGTTTTCCCAATTTCCACTCGTGTTGATATAACTGTATATCAACACGGAAAATGTTTTATATTTGTTAAATATATATATATATATATATATATATATATATATATATATATATATATATATATATATATATATATATATATATATATATATATATATATATATATATATATATATATATATATATATATATATATATATATATATATATAGCCTGCGGGCCCTAATATATGGTGGGGTATTTTCCGCACATTCGTGAGCATTGACAAATATAACTAGATTCGAAATATTTATTTTAAACCCCGAAAATCAAACCATTTCAATTCAAAGTCGTTTTTTATTTTTAGAAACGAAAATCTTCAACCAAGCTCACGAAAACGTTCATCACTACCTAGACTAGAACCCAGCAACTGTATATAGTATAGCTAACAAACGCGTTAACTAACAACGGCATTCATTCCACTTGCGAACTTGTGTATAGGATGTGCCTATAGTATGTGAAAAATAACAATTAAATTCAAAGTTTCGCTAAATCCATCGTGATGTTTGTGATGTTACTCTGAGTATGCATCCACACCGGGCAAGCTGAAAAGTTTACTTGGCCACCGTGGCCAAGTAAACTTTTCAGCTTGCCCGGTGTGGATGCATACTCAGACTATAATATCACAAACACCATTGTTCACCTGAGCACATAACACCAACACACACACATAAAATGGATTTATCTTAATAGTTTATTTTTATCACGTAATCGCTTTTGAATTCATTAGTGTAAAAGCACATACTGTACGTTCTTCCCAACTCCGCAGCTATAATCTTCAGACAGAGGCCTTTTGCCCAAAATCGTCGACGTTTGTCCTTAATTTTCCGCTAGTCGTATGATACACACAAGTTCACAGTTTCCATTCTTCGCTACATAGTTACCTGCAATTCACCCTCCACTATAGGTTTGTACATCATATGTAGGAAATCATTCAAGTAGTTCATTGCTGCTTCTTCTTCAACATTTTCATTCTCAAATGCAGGCTTTAATAATTGCCCAAGTGGTGATGAGTAAAAAACACTTCTTAATGAGATCAATGTTTCGGAAGGATCGGCTATAAATGATAAAAGAATAAGTTTAAAAAGTCTTATGCCGCACAAATTTTGCATGATATGCAGGCGACGTATTTATACGTGCTTTGGACGGGGCGATTATCAGAGTAAGCGCCTTTCACCACTGACTTCTCACCACTGTGATTGTGCGTTCGATTCTCAGCTGTGGACCTATGAACTTGCGTGAAAAGTGTCAGTCAACGCTTTATCAACAGTCATGAATTTTCCCAAGGTCCTCGCACACTATGTCAATTAGATAGAATGTCCTGGAAGCCCGGCGGACTTCAAAGTCACAAAATACAAGACCTTTGTTTGATGTTGAACTGCACGTAACCTCACTGTGCACAAATCCTTTGTCTCAATTTCATTAAATACTATTCATTGTTACCATATTGGACGATTACTTCATTATACGAAAATACAATGAGCTCAATCACTGTGATCGTGCACAAATTAACATAAACTCAGAAAAAACCATAACACAATGATACAAAAGAACAAGTAAACTCGCATGAGCATCTGGGGGTAAATATTTCCACAGGCACGCGGTTATATTTTCCCATTGGAATCAAAAACATTTGAAGTCCTCATGTGATTTTTGACTTCTTGATTTCTTTCATATATTATAGTGCCAATTTAAAACTAGGGATCCATGTGGCAAGGATAGTGCAAAATTTCAAATTAAGAAAAACACTGCAAGTGTATATGGGGGCAGAAAATGGAAAACGCGGAGTCTCATTAAAAAAGGATCTAAGAAAAATAAACTGTTTTGAAAGACTCCGTATTCCGCACTCCATACTCCGTCTTTTCCACCATGTCCTCTAAACCCTATAATCAATTCTATATTTAGAGAACCAAACACGCACGCGAGCCACGCACGTGCTGTATGTGTGTGTAGTTTCAGTGTACTATCGAGTGTCTGAGTATAACCATCTATTCAGTGGTGTACTGTAGCACCTTATACAGTCGCTGTATAATGAATATACCGCTTAAATAATAACATGCATGCATAACATCAATTTGTATATTGCGTAGAATCTCAAAGATTGTCTAAATATTCACGTCGGAAATGTTTATACATTTGAAAATCATACTGTCTCGCCCCTTCCTAGCTCTGTATAATGAATATACAATCAAAATAATATCGGCACTTAATTAAATGCCCGTAATGCATAAAATCAATTTATATATTAGATAGAATCTCGAAGATTTTCTCAATATTTACGTCTGAAATGTTTATACATTTGAAAACAACACTGTCTCGCTCCTTCCTATAGTCTATCTCTGTATAATGAATAAGCTATATACGTCAAAATAATATATATCGGCACTTAATTGAATGCCCATAATGTATAACATCAATTTATATATTGGGTAGAATCTCAAAGATTTTCTCATAATACTGTCAACCTCAGTTGTAATACACTCTGCATGGTCTACACAATATATTTCACACCGCCGCTCAATAGTTACCGCTTGTCCATGCATGCCCGCCATTGTAAAATGAGAGCACGTGTATTTATTCATTTGTTCTATGTTGCAGGAGAGCAAATCATGTAATAACAAGTGCTTGGCTGAAATGTAACAGTCATTTGATTATAACTTCTCTAAATGTCTCGATCGATCCATTGATCGGTCACTGGTTTGAATTTTTCTCATAACAACAGTGCAAAGCAACTTTGCACTAAAAACAAAACTTTCCTTCCATAGCTGTCATGATTTATCTTTTCACGGAATAAGCTATAATGTATTGGTGTTAAATCTCAATAAAACACTGTTCTTCACCTCTGGATAAACACGATCGCTATACGTTAATGTGTAGAAATTTCATCAGTGTTATTTAAAACAACATCTGTCTACTCTCTCGTGCACAGGCCTCTCCCTTTTCAAAATCGATATCTAATTTCATTCAAATTTCAACAAAGGAATTTTCATTTCTAATCAACAATGCCCCAACACCGATAAAATCGGTATTATATTCCCGTTACATCGAATATCCCTATTGCAAAACATACGCACCTCCAACTTTTAGCAAAAGAACGTTGACCATATCTTTAACAATCCATGAAAACGGAAATTTCGCATTAAAACGATGTCCAACTCCAGTACTCGAAACACGAGCCTTTTCTCTTACTCTACCCGATACGGGAGAAGTAAAAGAATCATAACTTAGAGGCGTAATTACTTCTTCATTGATCATTGTTAGCCACAATCTTGTTTTCCATTCCTTTTCTTCGCCTAGCAAGTCGAGGTTGTGATTTTGATCACAGTACGCAATCACTTCTGATAACATTGGAGAAATAATTGAGGAAAGTTTCTGCCATAACGCTTTTCTGAATGTTCCAGTTTCCTGAAGATGCCCTTGACGCAGAGCTTCGTGTTGTAACCACAATCTTTGATTCACAGGACATTTCTCGTCTCGTTGCTGGAGTAATTTGTGAACGCGGGTGGCAAGGATTTTGGAAAATTCTAAAAATAAATAATAAAACTGTAATTTAGTTGCTATCCAGTTTGATTTCGGTTTTAACGATATAAACGTTAATCGATTATTAATTAAGGTAATTCACTGTCGAAAAGTAAATCAAAGCACTTTCACTTTAAGCTGTACGAATCACCTAATTTTAAACAAACACAGATACCAACAAAATATTGAAGCAACCTGCAAGGCGGCGAAACCCAGTAGACACTAACAAAACAATTCCTATATAACCTGCTTCCCAATCAACGTACAACGAACAGACCAAAAATAGCCAAATTTAGACAAACAATAGCTCAAAACAAAACTCTCAGAGGCATAGAATGCAAGTATAGGTGGGGGGGGGGGGATACTTAGCTTGCCTAAGCATGTTATTAACAGGTTTTCAGGAGGTGACGTGGACAAATCAGATTTATGAGGTATAGGTCCTCTCTATATGATACGGTAGTAAGGTACTGACTGTAGTTAAGCCCCGTTTACACGAGCAAATTTTATATGATATGCTAGCTTTTGTGCAGCTTTTGTTCAAATGCATTTGTCACTATAAATTTGTCACAAATGTATCATTTACACGAGCAAAATACGTTTGACATATGAAATTTGTCAAATAAAATTTGCTCGTGTGAACGGGGCTTTACTAGCTATATAAATACGAATACATGGTTCGAGCATTTTCCATCAAAATTTTTCCATCCAAGATTTCACGCCGTTATTTTATCGAAATGTCCTTTATGACCTTCTTAATTTAAAATTAACCCTATTCAATAGCGTGCCAATGTTCTTATACGCATGATCAGCAACATTCGAAAGTTATTACGTCTTCAGGAATGGGTTTACTGGGGGCGGGTGCCTCGAATTTCCTTTAAAATTCTTTTTTAGGATTTGGAAAGCCAATTACAAATAGATAGTAGTATGATTGTGAAACGCAAGAGTATACAGACTACATGACCAAATCTCGGTAAGCATACCCTAGCAAATCTGGCCGGAACTATCCCTGTACGTCTTTACAAACTATATATAACTATATAACTGTATATGACAGTTATATAAAAATATAACCGATTTATAAACCTGTTTCTTGTGAATTATCTTCGGGCAACCATGTCAGCAATATTTCAATACGTTTCGTGGCTCTGTTGACTTCAGCTGACTCATCATAAATTCTTGCTGCTGCAGCTTGCAGACAGTTTTTCAACAACAATGTCGCTTTAATTTTTTGCTGATCCTTCTCTTTTTCATCAGAATCCTAAAAAATAAGGAAAATTAGGTAGACACCCTAATTGCACCTTGGACATTGCATGGTATTCTTAACACAAACTCAATTTTGTTGACGTGTATATTGTTACTCTCGAAGTAAAATTTACAAGAATCGCTAGTCCAAGTATGTTATAATATTGAATACTGGATTTTCATGATTTTCACCACAATTTAGTGATCGTATTTTTTTTTTAATTATGTTATATGTTTTCTATACCATACATATTTTCTATAACAACATTTTCGATCACCACTAAGTCTTTTAATAAAGTACAAAATCATGGACATGCATGCACAACTTCATTTTTATTACTAATCGCTCAGAGACAACGAGACTGAGTTGTCTAACGTTTTAGTATAAACCACATAAAGAAAACTGAATTTTTCACTTGATTTTTATGTAAAATAATAACTTTTTAACGAAATGAGCGTAAATGGCTTGCGGCTTTGGCGACATTATGTTCTGATATTTTCATCTACAAAATCTTCCAGAAATGTTTAATAAATATTTTTTAACTAAAAAATAAATCCATAATTATAACACAAGAAAAGCATCATTGCTACACAAAAGTTGTACTAGAACAAATTATAAAAAACATACAGTACGCTCGATGTGTGGAATAATCTTCGGACGCAATACAAGCAAAATTAATTAGATTTCTTCCAATATTCGAAATGCATTTTCTTCTGTCAAATTTAAATAAGTAGAATTCTTAGCACAAAGTGAAAAGCCAAATAGTTGTTATAGTCTATTATATCTTTACGCACTTTGCTTATTGTAAATATATCACCGTAATTTCTTCGAAAACAAGTGAACTGGTACATTAACTCCTAATATCATATTATTTGAATTGTAACTATATAGGGACCTTAAACAAAAGCTTTATGGTTTCTAGAAGGTTCCTAGCCCTACTATTGTAAATATTTTTTATTTAATAACATTTCGCATCGACCTTGTTGACAACTATACTTAGCAATTTAATTTATTGTACGATCATCCAGATTAAATTTTTAATTGTTTCTGACGTTTCAGCCATTATCAAAGATGTATTACAGTTACAAAAAATTTTACAGTTATAATAATTTTATCTTGCGTCAAAATGACGCGCGCGTGTTCGTGAGGTTGTTTGGTCTGTTGTTTTATCCCCGAGCCGACGGCGCGAAGCGCCGTGCGAGGGTACTAATTCCCCCCGGCTATTTACACCCGGGGAAAAGAAAGCAGTAGCGAAGTCGAAAGTTCACCAATGATCGCGGGCGTGGCTCACTGTGCGTGGGGGGTCATCCTCACTGATCTCAAAAATATGGCGGACAGTCATGATTAGCGAACACTGTGATTGGTCCAATTTAAAGTTTGCATTATAACGACTGCATGACGACAGCGAAATAGCAAACATTTCTTGATTTGATGATTGATAAATTTCTTGCAAATATATTTCATTTTTGCTCGCATTTTTGCAAGATTTTGTAAATTTCAAGAAAAAAAAAGGGCGAAAGAGTCGGCTAAAAGAACCGACGTTAAATATTTATCGATGAAGTCATTTAATTAAAGGCAGTTTAGTTCTATAAAGAACACTTTAAAACGTTTTGCGAAGCGTTTGTGGTTGAGTTTTACCTTAAATTGAAGGTAATGTACTGTTTAATAAACGAGCAGGAGTGTTTTATTAGGTTTAAAGCCACGAGCGCGCAGCGCTAGTGGCTTTAGACCCAATAAAAGACGACCTGCGAGTTTATTAAACGGCTTCAAACACGACTACAAATTCAGTAGATATACTGCCTTATTAGTATTCTTTATATAAAGAATACTAATGAGGATACAACTACAATAGATACTGCCTTATTAGTATTTTTATATAAAGAATAATAATTAGGAGTGAGTGCTTTATCAGATTTAAAGCCACTGCACGTGACATACTATGGTTGACATGATTTGCCAATAAGCTTATGAATTATTAATGAGTGTTTGAAATTACGTTTTATATCATACCTAACATATATATGTTGGGAAATTGATAATTTTGTAATTAAGAGATATTTTTAGTCGATTTTTCATTTGTAAGAATATTCTTAAAAAATTATCGTGTTACCGTGACAACTACTTTAGATACTTCATGTTCGGAAAATACAATGGTTTTGTCAGCAAGGCGAGGGTTTCTGCATGCATGTATTTTCTAGTTATACACTACATTCTTCTTTTACCTCTATGTTCTCTGCACGCAGTTCTTGGCTACCACTAGCATCAAGATCAACATCAATGTCTTCTATTTCATCACTTCTTGCAGGGTAGGCTGGCTGAAACAGATCACTTACTGCGCGATTTACAAGCTGCTCAATCTGTGGAAGCTGCTCATTTGATTCAAGAAGCTCGTCAATATGAACTGACTGCCATTTTCCACCTTGAAATCCTACAAAATGTTGACATCCCCCAGCAATCTTCGGCAACTGAATGATAAAGATGATGTGGATAGGTTTCACAGAAACATCAATGTCTTCTAGTGTACGACGCCGGGTTTCATCAACAAGATATCGACAACAGGCAATTAGGTTGAAGTTCGCCTCACCATTATCACATTGAACAAGCAGAAGTCCTTCATAACCACCAAGTGCAACAAAGAATTCTCTACATGAAAGTGAAGAAGGTAACTAGCTTACCCACAGGGTAGTGAATGCTGCCTTGGTATAGCATTGTTCCCAAATCTTTAATATTTTAAAGAATAAGAGTAAGAAATATTTGTAATCACCATTCCCCAATTAACCAAAATTTTGATCTCAACAAGTCTAGACAAAATTCCATCATAGCATGAAAGAGCATCGCAAAATTAGTAATATTCCAAAGTTTCGTTGCGAAATGTTGTAAAATATAGCCTTGCTAAATTTGCAATTTTCAGTCATTTTAGATTACAAACGGGAAATGGTTACCACTTTTCCAAAATTTTGATCTTAACTAGCCTAAACAAAAATTTCATCACAACTTGAAAGAGCATCACAAAATTAGTAATATTCCAAAGTTTTGTTGCAAAATGTGGTAAAATGCGGATAATATAGCCTTGCGAAGTTTGTAATTTTCAGTCATTTTGTAATTTGTATTACGCACAGAAGTGGTAACCATCTCCCGTTTGTAATCTAAAATGACTGAAAATTGCAAAGTCTAGATTTGTTGTGTTCAAAATTTTGGTTAATCGAGGAATGGTCCGTTGGAATCATCCATAACTTGAATGTGCCGTATGATAACTCGGCGCGCTCGAAGTTTCGTATCGAAAGAGGAACAGCCAAACAGGTGCGATGGCTAACAAGAATGAGTGTACTTATCAACTTATCTAACGCGAGGAAAAGATCAAAATGGCAGGTATGGCTGTGATATCTAGTATATAAAATTGTATAGACAATTTGGCAATTTGCCTACAAATACGGTGCTAGATCAAAACGGCCCCGCTTCAATAATCATGATTTGGACCAGGGGTTAAAGGGCAATGACAATGACATGCAGGTGACATTTAACATGTGCGAGTGTCGGAATGTGCGTCTCACTAAATTTGCGTGTTTAACAATGTTTATCAAAGAAGGCAAAAATATATGCAAGACAACCTCACATGTGGAATCTGTTCACTTACGCACTGCGTTGTGATGCAGTACAAGTACAAATGACAAAGCATTTTTAAAGGCTTTAAATCCTAAAACATAATTAAATCATACGGCACATTCAAGATTTTAATATCGTATTTCAGCCGCGTTTATACTGTACTGCTTGGCGCGCATTCGCTGCGTTATATTAATTTATATACCTATGTTATATACACATATTTATTACTAATAAATCAACACTATATGATAATATATAAGAACTCACAAAGTGCAGTCACCTTTTTATAAATAAACCTTTTTAAAAGCATGTCATTGTCATTGCAGACCAGAGGCAAAAAGCACAGCCACATAGGCCTACCAGATTTATTAAGCAATCGTGAGATTATATGCATGGAAAGAATATGGAAATTATGTTAAAAACACCCCCGTATAATGACGAAAGCACCGCGTATAATGCTCGAACCACTGCACATAATGGCGAACGCACCGCGTATAATGGCGAAAGCACCACGTATAATGCTCGAACTACTGCGTATAATAGCGAAACCACCGCGTATAACGTTCGAACCACTGCGTATCGACAAAATGCCGTTTGATCACTTACGTCAGCTATGGCTATCCATAAAAGAAAACCAAAGATAAAAGATGATCACATTGCTTGTTTGCCTTATGCCTGTTTATTAGGCAAGAATAGCCTGCCGGCCCGGAAGCAGTGCATTGTGGTAGGACGAAATACACCAAAACGATCGAGATTTCATCTGCCTTATATATATATATACATATACATAAAGATTAGGACTGCTGCCTCGCTCGCTCGCTTCACGCTCGCTCGCTCGCTACGGCAGCAAAAACAAATGAGAGTAGTTATCCAGCGAGAACCATATTTGAATTATAAAAGGTAGTACAAAGATACCAGGGATTAATACAAGCATTTTAGTCTACTACCGCCTTTTTTCGGAAGATTGGGTTTTTGAAGGAGAACACTACCTCACTTCCACCAAAACTCTTGATCCCCTGTAAATCGTTTTTATTTCGTTTCTATGAAATAACATAACGCGCATTCAGGCAGCACTTTTGAGAACAACTGTAACCGTTTTAAAATAGGTTTTTAATAGCGTGTTAAAGAATACATAACAATCAAGTACTGTCTTCTTTTTACATATTCACATTTGCCACAGTTTCTTCTTTTTCGCTTTAAACCTCTATCTAAATGAACGTTTTTTTTAAAAATGTAGGACAAATACAACAAACAGAAGAATATACCCAAACACTTCTCATGCAAGGCACCTTTCCAACAAAGTACATACATAATATATAGAATAAACAGTTTACATTTTGAATACCAATGAAAATTCATACAATGAAACAGTTGACTCCTGTGACAAGGACAATCATGCGATATAGACCAAGTACATAACACATTTACATCAAATATGGTATAGAATCTTACATTAAATAGGAACTACAAAGGTAATGTTTAAATGTTTTGACACTAGAGAAAATATTTGGACGAGCTACTTTGCAAACACTGTTCAATAATTTTACAATTCTATTGACATAAGTATCTTGAGCAAAAAGGAGTCTTGAGGCTGAGCATCAGATTTGGATTTGTGGGTGACAAAAGAGACATAGTCGTAAATGTTGAGGTCAGAGACACCATAAAGAGCATTGTAGAAGAAAACCATATTTTTTTATTTCTCTGTCATAACACGAGGGTAAATATTTGACTCGCTCGTTGTAGCTGAGTAACTTTTCCTAGCTCTCATGCGCATGTACTTGGTGGCTCTTCTCTGTACTCGCTCTATTTTCAACTTTCAGGCGGAAATGTGTGGGTATCAAAATTCACATACAGGCATAACAAAGATATATTCACAGCATATTGCGAAAAATATAATTACGGAGAGAGATTGAGTTTCAAAACTCAAGTGGAAAGTGCTTGTATTAATCCCTGCACTCCGTATGAAATATATGAGCACATGTTGGCCTTGTATTTGTCGAATTGCATAAAATAATCACAGGCATACGCCTGTATTCTAAAAGTTCACTCACACCCAAAGAGTTGAGGTTAAATCTGAGCTTCCCTTACTGTCGATGCAAGGGAAGTGTTGATAAAATATTGCACCAATTCCTTTCCTCAAGTTGATCAATTCATTTCATAGAAAATTGATCAACTTCCTGTTACTTTTAGACGAACCAATTAGATTTCGTTTCAGAACCGATTGACCAATAGGAAGCGCACAGGAAGTAAAAAGAAATTTGAATTGGTATGAATTGATGAACTTGAGGAAATGAATTCATGCAATATTTTATCAACACTTCCATTGCATCGACAGTAAGTGTCAGTGCAATTTTTTAAAGTTAGTGTCGTAGTTTACTATGTGACTACTCACCCTTCAGCTATTCAAAAACTACACTGACACTTAAGCAGAGCCGAGATTAAACATGCTCTCTTTGAGTGTGAGCGTGAGTGAGCTTTTAGAATACATGCGTTAGTCTAATGTTGACAAGCATAACTGGAACCGTGCATTTGGCTATTCTGAGAAACTGGCTAGACACGCCCAAAATCTTAAATCCTAGCTAAGACCCTGATCGTTTCCCCATACGTAACGTTAACTTCACTTACCCTAATGTCTTGATGAATTGTTGCTCTGTATGAAATTCCTGAAGGCTAATACAACGAGACCGTGAACCTGTAAACCCAGCGGCTGACGCTATGGCCCGAGAATTTGATTGTGATAACAATCGAGAGTGGGTGGTAATCTGGAGAAGAACGTTTTATAATTAATAAGAATGTTATGACTTTGTGGATTTGATTACCGTAATAAGCCAAAGCAAAATATGAAAACATTGCCACTTTACTAAAGAGTGACCGCGCAAATGGTGCAACATATCCTGCTATGCTGTGACCCATTATTATATACATTCGCCACTTATTAAAACAGTAATCTGTGCCAGTTATCCTTGCAATATAACCCCAACTTGACACGCAATTGCTTTCTTGTGTGCTCAACAGTGGCTCAAAAGCCTTTCAATAATGCTGAATAACTGTGTAACAAAGCTGTAACAATATTTTTTTAACTATGAAAGCATTAGTCGTTGAGTCAACAGCATGAGGCGCAGTTCCGGGCGTAACCCTGGGGCGAGAGTACTAATTCCGCTTGGCTGTTTATATCCGGGAAAAGGAAAGCATTAGCGATGTCTAAAGTTCATCATTAATCGAGGGTGCGTGCCTCTGTTTCATGGTGGATCTCCTCATTGATCTCAAAAGTATGGAAAATTTCAGGAGTTAAGTGGTATGATTTGCAGGGAAAAAGGAGAAAAACAACATTATTGTTAATGAGACGAAGCAGCCAAACAGTTTATTTGGTTTTGCTTCATAACACCCTATCCCTAACCTCCGCAACTCACAGGTGTTAGTTGCGGAGGTTAGGGGTAGGGTGTTATTAAGAGATTAACACACCGGATGCCAAGTTCATTGACATCACCCATAACGAACCTCCGTGAGGTAGTCAAACCCATTTCTTAGCTAAAACAATAGCCTGCATGCATCAACAACAATGTACACACAATTATACTAAAATGACCGAATACAATTTTAGTCAATACTAGAAAGCTTACCTGGACAAGAGAACTATTGTTTTCAGTATCTTTATTGTTTCCCAAGCACTGAACTAGATAATCTTTCAAACTCCCATGTTTCTGATTTCTAAAATATTCTGCCCAAAGCTTCTCTGCATCGTGCTCTAGTTTTGTTGCTGGTAGCCTGGCAATAGCATCGGGTGATGCACACTGCAACAACGTGTATATTGATTGGAAAAGAATCTAGGAAGAAAAACTATCGTTTAATCTTTTGACAGAACATTTAGGCAGGAGAGGGAAATGACTAATTTGAGGCTAATTTGATCCTGCAACATGAAATTTAGCCATTGTATTTATCTAGAATGCAAATAATATTTAGATATATAATACTCGGCTGTCGTTTCGTGGGATCGAAAATTCCATCTTTCACTTTCCAAAAATATTTTACCATTGCACTGCTAAACATTCATTGTTTGCATATTTAATTGCACAGTGAAGATGTAAATTAGATGCAATGCAAAATCTTGAATCAGGTCAGGGATGAAGATAACAATAATTGGGATTTTTCTGCGTTGGACAAAAACCGCCAGCTCATTCAATCAGCAGGGG